TAAGGAATCCTGATGAGCAAAACCAGGTCAAATATACCTCTGATGATATGTATTTCTGTTCACTGAGTAAGTGAAGGTAAGTCTTGAGAAGCTGGGTAACCTATGGCATTGATTCCCGAAGTATGACATTCCACCTGCAATTTCTTGCACACAAGCTAGAAAGGAGAAAATACTTTCTTTAAGAGATAACAGGTTTTGAGGACTTACCATGGGACAGGCATTATTCTCAGTGCTTTATGGATATTCTCCTATTCAATTCCCCCAAGTCTGTCAGGTAGTTGCTATTACTTCCCATTTTATGGATGCATAAACCAAGGCTTAGAGATATGTGTGACTTGCCAAAGCCTCAAGATCTTAAAGTCCTGGAACTGAGACTGATCTCAGAAATATACAACTCCAGAGTCTGAACTCATGGTGGAGTACCTAAGACTGATTTTAACACTCTAATGAGATTTTTCTATTTTAATTGCATCTGTTTAAAGGGTTCTTTATCTTTTTACTCAGAAATCGAGAATTAGCTACACTTCATGTTGGCCAATGACCATATGGTATAACAGAATCTGTGCTCTTTCTCTCAAGTTAATTTATGAAAATCTTTTGGCAAGGTCATCATGCTTTTTGAATGTACACACTGCTCCTTTGCTACTCTGTATAAAGGCATTTGTAAATTATTCTAGTTATCTTTAGAATACTTAAAATTACTCTCTGGCGTTTATATAATCAGCAAGAGATAATCAGATGATCTCTCTTTTTTCTAACAATAAGCCACTTCCTGTTCATTATACTTATGTTTATTTATGGCACAAGACGCATTTTCTCCGTAGAAGGTCACCTGTGGGTTGATGTGGAGGATTTCTGTCCTCCTATTTAAACAACTTTACCAGTTTTTGGCATTTGTATGACTGTTGATTAATTATGGCCCTGTCTCAATCATTATAGAAAAAATAATAGCCTATGGTATGGTTCCTTTTACCTGCCATTGGGTTATTCATTAACTGTAAAAATGCAAATTTTTTAAAATTCTTGCATATTTAGAGGCTTCTGACAGATAATCCACACCTATGCTATGTGCGCCCACCCATCTCAGAGGAAGGCCAAATGTTTGAAGTCAGAAGCCACCTGACATAGAGGCCCAAAGAATTAACGGTCTTGAGTCACATTTAAAATTTGTGGTTCCACTTCTTTGGGAACCAGAGCCTTCCTAAATACCAGTCCAAATGCCCCCAGGCTGCCTCCTCACCTTCATGTACTAAATTTGTTGACTATTCCACAGGAGAAGCAATTACTTCCTTTATTAAACTAAACTAAGAGGCCATGCCTTTCATTCTACTTGCACCTAATATAAGAAGTTGAAAAAACTACAGACACCTTCTATCCCAATGTGAAAGACCTTATTGCCCATTGCAGAAGATTTTGCTGAGTTTTGATGCCCTGTATCTGTTTCTTTCCTGTTTAATAATAGCATCCTGAGTTTTTTGGTTTTTTTTTTTTTTTCAAATGTAAGATGCTTCCTCATTCAGTCAATGTGCTTCAAGAGGAAACTGCTTTGGCAATGGACCTTGAATGGTTTCAGCTAAACAAGATGTCATGTGTGAAGAGACCACCAAATAGGCTTTGTGTGAGCAATAAAGCTTTTTAATCACCTGGGCGCAGGCGGGCTGAGTCTGAAAAGAGTTAGTGAAAGGAGATAAGGGTGGGGCCATTTTATAGGATTTGGCTAGGTAAAGGAAAATTACAGTCAAAAGGGGGTTGTTCTCTGGCGGGCAGGAGTAGGGGTCACAAGGTGCTCAGTGGGGGAGCTTTTTGAGTCAGGATGAGCCAGGAAAGGGAATTTCACAAGGTAATGTCATCACTTAAGGCAAGGACCGATCATTTTCACTTCTTTTGTGGTGGAATATCATCAGTTAAGGCAGGGGCAGGGCATTTTCACTTCTTTTGTGATTCTTCAGTTACTTCAGGCCATCTGGGTGTATACGTGCAAGTCACAGGGGATGCGATGGCTTGGCTTGGGCTCAGAGGCCTGACACAAGAGAGTCTATTCCAATGTCCACAGTGGTTGAGTTATACATTGGACTGGTACCCAATGTAGAGCAATAATAAGTAAAGAGATAATTAGATGGAGACCACTAAAAAGAAGATCCCTTGCTCTTCCATTGACATATTCTTTAAGTGTGAACATTTAGGGCCTCCAGAAGCATTGACAGCCATCCTGCATTGATAGAACCCAGCCATCTATTCAATATATTTGCCTTAGAGTCACACCACCTTTGTTACCTTGGCAGTTTGAGTTACATCTCCTGTTATTTGCAACGAGAAGATTCCTCACAATACATCTACCACTGTGACCACAATTACACAGTAATCATGAAACCATGCTGCATTACGGAATTTATTTGCGCACTTTCTTCATCTAGTACCTCCTCCTATAGTCATAATTTTTTTTTTACTCTTCCCTGAGTTCCATAAGCAAATATAATGAATTACACCAAGAAGCTTATTAGAGAAGTTTAGAATTTTAGAATTTTCTGTATTCTAAAAACATCATCTTTTTTATTATCTTCATGTGGTTGGTTATTGGATAATTATATTCATATTTCAAGGCTTTCTATAAACCTGCCAGCATTAAGTAGAGATCTTATCCGCTTCTGGGCAGAAATAGAAAGACTGCCTGTGTTGGCACCTATACCTTCCTGATTTTTGTTCTTCCTCTCTTGTTCTGCATCCTTTTTGTCTACTCTCAGAAACATCAGCTTTGCATACACTTCTGCCAATGAGACTATCCGAATCTGAAAGTATAGGGTCCTCTCTTTTTCATGTTTTTTCTTATTTTCATAGCCAGGGCCTAGAGGTGACCGCTAAGGACCAGCTGTAGTGTCTACTGCACACTTGCTTCCCACATTGCTTTGAGGCAGCACTGCAACTTTTTTATTATATCTATCTCTACGAAATTTCACAGCCTTCGTTCTCAGTAACAATTTCTACATTGACAACTACTTTATGTCCTCTTCCCCTATTAAGAAAAGTTATTTGTCCCCCAGTTGAATAAATTTTCATTTTTTTCATTTTTTTAATCACCCTTTTCAGTGTCATTTTATCACCTTTCACTGTGTGATCATTGGATGCACCCATCCGCTATCGTGGCTCTAAGCTTTTTCACCGTGACTTTTCTCAGGGATTTCAAGTCTAAGTTAACTCTTGGTGCTGTTTCACACAGATGCTTTTGTAGAACTCCAGGACCTCAGACTGTTGGGAGAGATAATAAGGATTGTGGTCAGAGCACAGTGAAGATTGAGTTTGATGCCAGGAAAATAAATACGCACATACTGCCATCTTCATATAACTCAACTATATGCTTTGATGGGAGTGGCCTTCACAATTACTACATAGTTGACCTCTGACAGTTTATTTTTCCTCTTAAAAATAGGGTGGGGAGGGGCAGGGAAAATCAACAATTATGTTTGCTCTTGTGACACTCTCAGGTTCCTAGCCATGTGTAATTTAACAAATAATCATAGAAATGTCTTGCTGAATTACAGAGACATGGCATCTAAAGGTGGGGGTTGGGAGGAACAGCACAGAGAAATCGGCACTCAACACAAATTTAGTACAAGATAGGTAAAATGACACATACTCCAGAATTACTTACTTAACAAAGAAAAACTTTCGAGCATCAGCAGTTGGCCTATGTATTTGTCTTTTTTAGGGATATTCTCAAATGCCACGTATCACATTATAGTAAGAAACATAGTTGTCTAGATGGCAGGATACCTTCTAGGGAGAGAATTCTCTCCCAGCTGACATGCTTAATAGGAAACCCAATTAAAATAATTCCACTCACACTTCATAGTTTGGAAGGCTTTCACTGATAACTGATCTCTCCCAGAAATAGCTCAAGACCCACTGTCATGTTTCCAAAGTACTCTTTACATTTATTTTATGTCACTCATTTGTTCAATGTTTGTCCCCACCGTGAGCATGTAAGCCCAGTGAATACAGTCATCACTACATTTCCTAGCCAGTCTTCCATGCCCAGTGCTGCATTCACAATGCCTAACCATAGTACCTGGCTCACAGAAGATGCCTAATCTACATCTGAAAGAGCAAGAGGTAGAACAAAGGAAGAAAAGGAGGAATGAGGGGGAAGGATTGGTTTATGGCTTGGTGTATTAGCTATTTGTTGCTCTGTGCCAAATTTCCCCAAAATGTAGCCACTTAAAACAGCACACATCTATATAGTTTCCATGAGTTACAAATCTAGGTGTGGTTTAACTAGGTTTTCCAGCTCAAAAGAGTCTCTCACAAGACTGCAAACTATCGGTCAGGGCCATGTCGTCTCAAGATTCAACTGGGGCAGGATACACTTCCAAGCTCACTCAGTAGTTGTTGGCAGGATCCAATTCCTTGAAGCTTGTTTAACTATGAGCCTCAGTGACTTGTTGGCTGTAGACCAAAGGCTGCTCACCATCACATCCTGTCCACATGGACAGCTCCACAGTGCCACTCACGATATGGCAGCTGGCTTCATCAGAGTGAGATAGTCAGAGAGTACAACATAGATGGAAGTCACAGTCTTTCATAACCTAATCTCAGAAGTGATCATCCCATCACTTTTGCTGTATTCTATTTGTTAAAAGCCAGCCTTTTAACAAATTACAAATTGTTATTAGGTCCAGCCTACACTCAAAGGAGTGTAGGGAACAAGATAAAACAGAGCATGAATGTCAAGACATGGTAATAATTTGGAGGCCATCCAAGAAAGGCAGCTTAGCACACATAAGCATGCAATCAAAACAAGAGGAGTTGGTTAAAAGAGTTACCTGTTAATAGAATTGGGCTAAGCTAGACTATTGTATCTTTCTCCACAATAAGGAAAATTACTTTCAATATGGCTATAATAATAAATCCACTTGGAAAATGTATTTTAAAGAAATTATTGTGTATGCAAACGCTACCTGACATATCAGTATCCTTTGGAAGTGATTTTAACAAATCTGACTTACATTTTTAGGTGAGCATTTTCTATTTCATCCAAAAAAATTGAAATCGTCAGACTTCACAACTGAAGGAAATCTGGAAAGAAAATACCTACTTCGGTAGGAAGCAAGTGTGCTGCATTCTCCATATTTCTCCTGTACCACAGGGCATGCTGTGTGGTCTGTAAAAGAAAAACATGTAAACGTAGGCAAAAGTCCTAAATAAACCAAGGAAAGTATTTGTGGGTGGCTCAAAATGGGTGAGTTTCTTTCCATGAAGGGCTGGGTGTGCCACAGTCTTGACCAGCAAGTACATGCTAATGGATCCATCTATAGCTCTAACTAAGTCTAATTCCTGCATTCTAAATAGGCAACCAGGATATTATCATATACACTCTAGTCTTAAAACCTTTTAACGTTTTAACGAGAATCCTTTTGATTCTCTCTGGAATCTGTTACATATTTGGATTGGACTACAACAAGCAGTTCCATGGAAGTCTGTAAAGCTTTCTGATGGTGCACCTCTTTAATTATTAAGCTACTTCAGGGTCATAAGCCAGAGAGAAAAGAATTAGAGCTGATTAGTATGTGTCCCTGTGGCCCTGAAAATCCTTTGGCTGCTGTGGAGGTGCTTGCAGCATTCTGAAAGCTTTAACATAATCCAACCATCCTCCCAAATTCCGAGTTGCTTTTATTCAGGCACATTCAGATGTCAGTCTATAATCCTAAGTCATTGCAAAGAGAAAAGGCATGATCTGCGATCTGCTTTTTAAAGCCCACACTAAATCTCTAACCTGGTAATTCATGTAGAGCATAAGGATCATCAGCTGCCAGAAAGCAAAATCCAACACGCCACGTAATCTCTCACGATTTTCACAAACACATTCTGTTTACAAAGGCTAAAATATATCCGAATAGTTGATGCCACACTATTCATGAGACTGCAACATGGTATGTACTACAGCAAAGAAAACATTATTATTTTACTAACAGCTTTGATTTTTAAAGGGTTTGTCTTATCCATGATTGTTGCTGCCATGCAACAGCATGAGTTATAAGCTGAACATCCTTTTATATATACTCTGCACTCAGAGGAGCAATTTCACAGATAAATCACAAGGTGACAGCCAAACCATTAACTTCATGACTCAGGGTGAAGTTCCTACAGGGTGAAAACATCTGTAAACAGCTGGGCAACAGCAGTGCCATCAGCCTTTGAAATGAGAAGGTACCATTTTCAAGAAGTGATTTGAGCAGAGTCTATTCTATGGAAAACAGTCTTTCAGGTACCAAGGTGCTCCATACTCAAACCTAAATGCTGGAAATCCATTTCCAATGAAGCATGCATTTATTGTCCTGTTCTGTTTTTTCTCTCACGCCAAAGACCCGGTGTGTATTAAAAGTAAATTTTGAAAAACATAAAGGACTCCTTGATTACATTAAGTAATGAACATTTAAATTTTGAGTTCCAAAATAATATTTTAGAAGAGGGCTTGTCCACCACTCTCTAACTTCATACATTCCCCTATTTCATAATTTCTCCTATGCATCCTCTCCAAATTCTCCTTGTCTGGGATTCAAAAAATTGAACATCCATATGTTCACAAACCAAGTCATGAAAACTCACGTAGTATACCATGGCTGAAGTAATCTATAGCTATTTAGGAATTATCACAAAGTAAAATCTTAGGTGTAGAAAGTTGCATAGGACTTATTCACAATTTCTAAGTCTCAGTTTGTTCATCTATAAATGGGAACAGTAACACCATCTTTTAGAGCTGTTGAGAAAAGTTAAAAACAACTCTGAGGCCAGGTGCGGTGGCTCACGCCTGTAATCTCAGCAATTTGGGAGCCCGAAGGAGGTGGATCACCTGAGTTCAGGAGTTCAAGACCAGCCTGGCCAACATGGTGAAACCCTGTCTCTACTAAAATTAACCAGGCATGGTGGTGGATGCCTGTAACACCAGCTACTCAGGAGGCTGAGGCAGGAGAATCACTTGAACTCGAGAGCCAGAGGTTGCAGTGAGCCGAGATTGTGCCACTGCACTCCAGCTTGGGCAGCACAGTGAGACTCCCTCTCAAAAAAAAAAAAAAAAAAAGTCTGTACAGTACATGACACTCAATTTATCTCCTTCGTCTCTCCATACCCACACAACAAAACTGAATGGCATGTTAGGGAACTCGCAGGCACCTTCATCAGGCATTGCTGAATAGAATCTTTGTGCTGCCACTCAACTAGCTTGGCAAACTTGAATAATTTACTTAACCTCTCTGGGCTTTGATATTTTATCTATAATGGTGGATAATTATTTCTACCCAATTAGGTTTAGGGGAAAATCAGAGTTCAACTAAGTAAGGAGCTTACCCTCTGACTGCCATGTAGGAGATGTTCAGTGAAAGCAGCCCCTCTTTATTGCTGGTAAGATGATTCCCTTTGCCACGTGGCTGGGATAGAAATTCTGAAGCCATAGAAGCAGCACTTCAGCTGTCCCCAACATTATTTCATTCTTTTTTGTTCACATGACACTCAGCAATCCAGGGAAACTAACAGAATGAGCATGCCTAAACTTACACCTCAGCGTGGGTCCAAGAAATGTACGAAAGCTCAAAATCTGAGAGCATTGTACCTAAGACGATAAAGTACAGATCGTAAAGGCTTTCCAGACAGCAGTGACGCATGCTCATCACCATTAAAAGAATACATTTCCATGCTTCTATGTGTTTTAGCATCCCACAAATAATTACTGACAACTTATTATCTTATTATGTACTCAGCATTGCACTATAGGATTTTTTGTTTTGTTTTGTTTTAAGAGACAGGGTCTTGCTGTGTCACTTAGGCTGGAGGGGAGTGGTGTGATCATAGCTCACTGCAGCCTCAAAGTCCTGAGCTCAAAGGATCCTCTCACCTCAGCCTCCCGAGTAGCTAGGATTATAGGCAGCATCACTGCTATGCATTCTTCTCAAGAAAAGGTGACACTGGCATCTGTATCAAAGCAGATCCCTCTCTCTTATGACTGTTGTAAGCAATCATGGCTATGGCAAGGTAATACTAAAATAATAATGGTGCATCCTGGTTGGAATTATTTTGAAACAGTTACTTTTAGCTACAAATACCCAAACATTAGCTCCATGCCTCAGCCTCTGAGTGCCTCAATGCTCAATAGATAAGACATTCTTAACAGGTCTAAATAGACATAGACATGACATTCTTACATCATTCTTATGGTATGACATAGAATGGCATGTCATTCTCATATCATTTTTATATCATGAAATAGATATGACATGTCTAAATATATAATAGATATGACATTTTTAACATGTCTAAAAAGCTTAGAGAACACCTGAAGTCTGTCTGCATTGCCAAGGGAGTAAGACAAGCTCAAATAGTCAGTTTAGAATATTCTATCTACTTAGCAACAGTGGGAAAAGAATAGAGAACCTTGGGCTAGTGTAATATAATTCAGGTCCCTGAGTTACTATTCAAAGTCCTTACATTTTACAAATGGGTATCAAAATGATGCTCTCTGGAATTCCTAAGTGTTTGTGAAAAGGGTTCGGAGGCCTGCTCAAGGCTCCCAAATGTGTGCTAGCATATCTTACAGCTTGGTTTCCTCATGTGAGGGACAGGAATAATAAGCTTGTTATAACAATCAAAATGAATGCTCTTTATAATTAATAAGGTCCAATAAAACCACACAATAGTATTGCTACTGTAATCATTCACTGACACAGAAAGAAAGCTGCTAGAACCAGTTGTATGACTCAAATAAGCACAGAGCCTTGAATGCCAGACTGAAGGGGTTAGTTAGCTCATGTTCAATCAGTAATTGGTAGTTTTTTGTTTTGCTTTGTTTGTTTTTAGCAGAGTATTGTATTTTTTGGGCTGAGTTTTTATAAAGATTAGCAATTGTTGGCAGAAACATAGGAATGGTGGGAAAGAGGTATGGAGACTGAGAGATCAGGAATGAGGCCTTAAAAAAAATACGTTTTTAGCGTCCCTAGAGAAGACAACCCCTAATGCAGCTTGTGACAGTGACACCCGGGTATATGCCAAATTCACATGCAACTTACTGAGCCACTTCATTAGTATCCCTTATTAATCAGAGATGAACTTCAGCCTCAGTGTCAGTGGCCAAATGGTCAACAGAAGGGGCAGAGTAACTACGGCCAGGGTGGGCAGCTACCCGGAGGTGCAGCACAACTGCTGAGAAGCGACAGCCATGCCGTCCAACCCGGTTTGCAGCAAGCAGAAAAGGAACAGCGTCTTTGGAGCAAATGAAGCTTGCAGACTGTGAGGAGAACAGGCAGCGACACAAGCAGGAGGCACAACCAGGGACAGCAGAGAGTCACTTGAGGGCTGGGTGTCCAGCAGGGAGGATGCGGAGCGCAGAGTGTGTTTCAGTCTTCTCAGTGACACTTATCCACATGGATGGGCACACCATCTGGGGCAGCATTTTTATTTTTTATTTTTTATTTTTTTTGTGTGTGGTGGTGTTTTGTTCTTTTTGCTTTTTTAAATATAAGAAGCAAAGATCCATATATGGTATAGATACAGATATAGATACAGAAACACACATACACATCACAAATTTTACCATTCAAAAACACAGATTTCATGCCTCCACTAAGCCCTGAAAAGAGTTTTCTCAAATTTCTAGCTGATTCCTTTCCCAAGAAACCATTTGCTTTCATAACTTGATGGAGTATTTTCAGATCACAATGTATCCTTTTGTTTTAAGGACCACTTCATTACTTACAACAGGGAGGTGGCATGTTTTCACTTTCTGTGCTTGAAAGCAGCTGAATTTTTAATAAAGAAAGAAATAGAAAAGTAGGACACCTTTAAAATACAGAATTTCTTTCCTGCCTGGTTTCTAACATTTCCTCACCCCACCTGAGGAATTGTCCCTTGCAAAGGAATAGATTTTAGTTTCTCTTAGGTGGGTAGGGGGTGGGCAGGAGACTTAGCAATGACCAGGTTTGTAAAAACCAAATAAATATGTGCTCCTGTTGAATCAGAAAAATCAAAATGGTATTTTTTTACACTCTTCTGCTCACTTATGCTGAAATACTATACCAGTCTTATGCCAATCTTTGGCAGACAGACATGCAGCATTTCCTTTGCCACACAGACAGTAGTGACTTTGCCAAATTGTCTAAGGTTAATAGTAGTATC